TATGCCCTTGCAACTCACTACATTCACCACAACAAAACAAGGGGAAAACAATATTTTCAACTCCCTCAAATCTCACAAAATTCCATCTACAGAGTGACACAGATAAAATCCCAACCGCGTGTACCTCACTCGCCTTCATGGCACTGGGGCTACAGTGGTGTTACCAGTTGCATCTATACAACGAGAGGGATGGGTATCAGAGAGTCAAAAGAGAAATATGGACAGTTAGTTGGGCAGACAGCCATTGCTTCCTTCCCCCCTTAGCTCCTGTTCTGTTCTTCTCTTTCCATCTCTTCCATGGCCTAATCCACCAACAGTACGAATCCCCACATTACACAATATCCCACAATTTCTATATATCTATTTTTCCTTAAAGGTAATATACCCGTTTTCAGATAACAAGTAAAACAAAACCATAGGTTGGTGGGGGGGAATTTTGCACCCTCTTTTCTGTTCAACCTCTTTTCCTTTACACCCTTTTCCAACTTTTCTTTCCTTTGTCAATAGCATGAGCAGCAAAGTTTTGAAATTTGAGTATATATCTCTCTCATGTTTTATAAATGGGTATTGCTCAAAAAACAGATAAGCTACCCCAAAAAAAAAAAAAATAAATAAATAAAGGTTTTTTAAGGTTTTTTCTTTTTTCTTTTTTCTTTTTTTTGAGGAGGGTTAAAACACAGTCAAGAATCATCACTTTATCTGCCTGCTAAACAACACCACAGAAGTGTCTTCTTCAACTGGTTAAGGTTTCTCATTTTTCAAGGTTCAGTAGGTTTCTCTGTATTCAATATTCATACATGTATTTTTGTATATTTTTATTTTGTTGTAGCATGGTTTTGTCTCTAATAAAGGACTGTTATTTTGCTTTCTTTTTCCTCATTAAATCTCTGGTATTGTAATGCAGACTAAGCTGAGGGTTGTGGTGTGAGTGAGTAGAGCAGATTTCATGGAAGCAAAATTTTGTTAGTTTTTGTCACTCTGGTCAGTTCTCATTTCTTTTAGCTAAATGATTTGTTCCATGATGCTTTTATTTTTCCCTTTTTTTTGTGGGGGCAATCTAGGGTTTGTTACTTTCTATTTCATTGTTAAGATCCGTTTTTTCTGGTCTTGACAAAGAAGCTGTTTTCTAGTCATGCAGAAAACAAAAAGA